GAAAATAAGATGGAAATACTCACAGACTGAAATAAAGACAGGCAGATCACTTACCAGTTACCATCAGGGGCAAAACAGACTCAACTTCGGAAAATGGTTTACATTTATTGCCCATTAAAAATAGAGTTGGATGGTGAGAAACAAAGACAAAAACTAAACCACCTTCCCTCGACTCCCCCATTCTTCCCAGGTGCTACTTCACTCTTTCACTCTTGCTCCTGTTGGCAACTGTGGAAGTACCTCAGAAAGCTTCTAATTTCTAACTTAGCAGCCTGATTCATGTTTTAAATCATGCTGACTTCCGCTGACAAATGTGGGCAAAAGGCTACTTGTGAGGTAATCTAGGCTATAAATAAACAAATAAATAAATACATCCACATTTCATGGGTACCATTTAGGTGGGGGTGAGTATAGGACATAGTTGTATTTAACTTAAAAGATCCAAACTGGTTTTGCCTCATTATCAATTACTTCATAATTAGTGTTGAGTTCTTCTATTTCACTGCCTTTCCTGGTTTAATTTTGGACCCTGAAAGTTAAGAGCAGTTTCTTTCATCATAAAAAAGCTGCATGAGCATTGCCTGTTGTTCGTGAGAATCCTCTGTTACGACACAGCAAACTGTTGGCAGAGAAGAGAGTGAACTGCATGGTGATAATACATTTTCTGAGGATATACTTCTGTTAACCATTTTTCATGATTGTACTACTAGTTTACTAGGAAGCGGCAGCTGTTATAACAGTATTTTTTCAGCACTCTACAAAATTTGACAAATGAAAGAAAATATCAGTATTTTGCAAACTGTAATGAGATTTCCTACTACATAAGATCTACTTGAATTATCTAGCAGTGACCTCCAAAGTTTCTCTAGGGTTACAGCTTCTGTACCCTCCTCAGCAACCATAACTCTATGGAACTTGAGCCTCAGGAAACAAAGATATACATTCCAATGAGACAAAGACAGAAATTTCCCAAAGACTGCCCTGAGCTCTGTATTGCTTTTCTTAAAATAAATAAACAAATAAATAAATAATTCTCAAAACAGTCTTTAGCATTCTTTTTTTCATCAAAACAATGCTCTAGGAAAAGAAAGTTAATGTGCATTCAGTCATTATGACCATACTCAAACTTCTGTGTCAGTCCCAAGACAATGCCTGGATCAGGAGGCTAGAGTAGTAAGTTTTCCTGATGAGGATATTTGGGCTTTTTAGAGGGAAGAGTGGGATGGAAACAGACATTTCCCTTGATTCTTAACTTCTAGATGCTACAGTGGCACACAGTATAAGCATATGATTCTATTGATGACTTTTCTATTTTTTATAGGCTAGCAAGTGATATTGATGCTCCTTTCGCTGTTATTCTTGAGGAGGCATGGGATTTTTGAAAGCAGACAGGACTCATGGAACTTTACATTTCTCAAAAAAACAGTCTTCATTTTTTGTCCAGATGAGCAGTTTGGTTGGACACTGTTAGTGATAAAATTGTCCTTAAATATTCACTTCTTCAGAATTATCTTTACAGCTCAGTGTGGCGCAGAGATGACCTCTAACTGTTTAACCAGGCAACAAGTAATCTAGATTGCTGATGGCAAAAATCCTCTTCATAGTTTGGTGAAGTATGACAAAGCATTTTTACAACTTTGTTCTGCTGGTTTGCTGTGGAGAAAGTTTTCTTCCCCTCTCATTATGCTGGTCAGATAACCTGAAATAGTGGGAATTGTTACTATTATGTAGGTAAAACTATTATGTGTAAAGTGGTATTACATACTGTGAGAAAGCAGTTACATTGAACGGGACCTAATAACAACATTTGCTCTCATAAATCTGTTTCGATTACTCTGAATTTCTACTTTCCCCAGTCCCTCTGAAGAGCGACAGTAGAGATGATTTGCTTCAATTCTATTAGTCATAGGTAAATGAGTATCTTCTAAATTTATAGTCAAGACAGATATTTGACTGCAAGTTATCTGGGTGAGCCTCTAGAGAGGCTGAAGGTGAAGAAAAAAAAGGAATAGGAAATGATATCACTTAAGTGGACAGTGCTCACTAGACCTTTTTCTTATAAGTGAGATACATAAAAAATACCCAGCCAAAAATAGGGTAGAGATTCTTCTCAGTCAGTCTTCTGCCCTTGGCAAGGAGTTAAGGACCTTTACACTTCTAGCTAGTAGACTGCGTGCATTTATTCAGACATTTGTCAGCTCTACATTGTGTTAGCAAAATGTATCCTGACATCTTGAAAATTGCTTAGAAATTAAAGCTTATGAAGAACAGTTTTGTCCTTTTACGTATCTTATAAGAAAATGTTTACAGAAGCTTTCATTTGCTTCTAATCCATAAACTACACCAAATGTATTGTCTCACAATGCTCTTAATCCCATACAGCCTATATTCTCCCCATTGTGATTACAGGACATGGGTAAGCCATTTACATGTAAAATAAGTGAATGCTGAAAAAAATATAGTTATTGTTTAATTGCAATTATTTGCCAAATAGGTGGATAACTTTGATCCAGAGAGAAAAAAAAGAACATAATTTCTTACTGCAAAATCAAGCTAATTTTTTTAAAGTATCTTAAAACTTAGTTAGGATGAGACAAATTTTTTTATTCAGTCTGACTTCAGATATTTGGAGGTTGTCATTTAAGCAGAAAATGAGGATGGGGAAATTTGCTTTAGGTTAGTTTACTGATTAAGACAAGTTTAAGAATCATAACGGTACTTTTCACACAGCAGTTATCCACCTTTTAAGTAAACAGTTTCAACCGAGGTCATGTTATTACCAGAGAACAATCTTCAAATTTGTTTGATCACCAAAAAAAAAACTAATGCTGTGTTGGGTTTCAAAGTCGTATGTCAATTTCTATGCATTTACTCGTGTTTAATTGAAGCATGAATCTTAAGCAATAAAGATTTTAGTTTTAGTCACAAGGAAGATGAGACTTTATTTTACAGTTTGCTTGGGTAGGGTAACATTGGATTTGTCCACTAGATGCTGTTTGATTTTTTATTGAATTCAATACTGAAACAACTGTATGTGGTTTGCAAGAGGTAGATGCCTTCTTAAAATCTCTGATTCCTTGTTTTTTATCCATTTAGGTACATCTGTTATTCAAGTGACAGCCACAGATGCTGACGATGCCAACTATGGAAACAGTGCCAAAGTGGTGTACAGCATCCTCCAGGGACAGCCGTATTTCTCAGTGGATCCAGAAACAGGTCAGCAATTCATTCAATTTTACTTTTTGCACTGACAGAGACAGGATGCAGCGATCAAGACACTTTTCACTTACATTTAAATACTGGAACAGGCGTATGGCATCATATGACTTGACATGAAGATGATACGCTTTTTCTAAATGGAAACTGGAATCACAACAAAACTATGCCTTTTATTGTTAAAATAATATTGCAGAAGAATAACTGCTTTACCTGGTATTAGTAAGATTTCTGGAAAATGACTGTTGACTGTAAAGCTCAACAGTTCAGAAAGGGTGTAAAATATTTTTAAAAGCATCCAAAGAATCATGAAAGTGTTAAAGCTTATTTCACACCAATTTCTGGGAATTTCACGTTTGTCTTTAAGAAAAGAAAAAAGGAGCTGGACAATTTTAGACTATAAGGTAAAAAAAAAAAAGAAAAATAATCCCCAAAGGTAAATTAATTATTTCTAAAAGCTTGTAACACATTCATGAACACTGACAATTTTTAACTCAAGATGCTTTTTGAAACAGCTATTAATATCGAAGCAAGCAGCATTAATGCTTTTAAGTTGTAAAGCATGAATGAAAGCCCTTTTCACCGTTATGCAGGAAATCAGATAAGAGAGACACAAAGAAGAAAAACTCCTGTGAACTTTGGATATCTATAATCAAAAGATTATAGATTTCAAAAAAACCCAAACAACGACATCCTCCCAACACACCCCCCCACCCCACCCCCCATCCCCCAAGCATGTAAGACTTAGCAGGTATTACATTAGCTTGTTCTTGTACGTTACCAAAATTGTTCTGGTTTGAGAATCCTGAATTTAAGTGCAATTGTGCCCAGAATCCCTGAAGTTCCTAATCCACTGAACATGCTCAGATGATGGCTAATTTCCTTTTCAAATGGTTTATTTTTTAAATACAGCAAGGGCATTATATCAAAAAGACAGTAAGAGTCACATGGCTACTGTTTTAAAAGGGAGCATAATGATTTTGTCTAGAACTAAAGTGTTTGGGCTTTTTCCACTTTTTCCTATCTCTCTCCTTTTTCTCTGTTCTCCAATCCCCTACTCCAAACATCTTTACCAGGCATGAGCAGGGACACAGAACCAGTACCACACAGTCATTACTGATGGCAGCAGGTGGTTAGGCAGGTAAATGGTTTGGGGGAGACCTGGGCTCTCAACTTTGGTTGTGGGATTATCTTTCATTTTTATTCAATTTGCTTTTTCATGTTACATATATTTACAAGCCTAGGTACAGTAATCAGAACCTGGTAATCCTGGATCAGACATAAATGCCATACCCACCAGACTACAGAGTTTTTCTTCTTTGTTCCACTTTCTTTCTAGGAGTAGGAGTAGGAGTTTTCCAGGGTTGCTTTATTTTGCATAGTAGAATAGCTTCCATATCAAGCTCAGCTTGTAATAAGAGCCGCCTTCTGAGAAAGGAAAGGCAGGGATGTGAATCCACCAAGCAGAAAAGGACATTGTATTTAAATTCTCCCACTTCACAAGAGAAAGATCTCATCACTTCAATCTTGCAAAGCCATCACCCTTCTAAACAAATAATAATAATAAAAAAAGCTCTGCTTGGTTTTCTAAAAGAAAACACGTGTGTGTCCACTTTAATGAGAAGGTCTTTCGGGCTTTGAATCCCAGTAGGATTGAGGTCACTTCTCTATTCAGGCTATAGGATTTTTGGTTTTCTCACCTGAGGTCTGTATTCTTTTTGTGTGCTGTGCAAGAGTCTGAGACATTTAAATTACATTTATGAAATTCTTGAGATTGGACACCCAAAAAATATTTTCCAACACTAATTTTACAGTCTTGTCCAAAACTTTTATTAGCTGTAGCCCTAGCTGACTTACAGTGGCCATCACTGGGCATTAAAATCTATGATCTATTACAGTCAAAAAAAAATTAACCCAGGTCATGTTAGAGTTCAGCCTTGTGTTATAATACCAAAATTTCACCAGGGCTGGAGATTATATGATGCATTAAAATAACTGGGGATAATAGCTGAAAATTTTCATTAATTCAACAAATACATTTATATTTTTGTCTTTGAAAGAGTAATTAAAATAAAATGAATAATGAATAAAATCTCTGTTACATTTATTTATCTGTTTTCTTAAAATCACATTAAATCAGCTGAAGATTGAAAGGCTTATTGCAGTATGCCTTGTTTTTCTTGCTATGGATTAACATCTGCACAGTATATCTAATGTGGATCCACTTAAAAACACTGAGATTAAAGTGGATGTTCTTTTTGTCTCTTCTCCAAGGTATAATCAAGACTGCTTTACCGGACATGAGCAGAGAAAACAGGGAACAGTATCAAGTGGTCATCCAGGCCAAAGACATGGGAGGTCAGATGGGAGGACTATCAGGAACCACCACTGTGAACATCACGCTGACTGATGTCAATGACAATCCACCTCGCTTCCCCCAGAGTATGGAGCATCTAATAGTTCTGTTGTTTTCCAAAGAACCTTTCTAAAATCAGTTGTTTCACTGCCACCATCTGGGATCTTCTTTTATTCTCCTTTTTTTCTTTAGTATAAATACTGGCCCACTACTGTGTCAGTTTATGTTGCAGCATTATTGAGGCAAATGGGAATCTCTGCCTCCAATTTTTTAATAGCAAAATATTTCTTGGAATGATAAACATACTTCCCATTTTTATCTCTCTTACAGGAATGTGAGCTGTAACAATAACCTAGGCTGACTGCGGGGACTTGAAAGCCTTTAAAATAGTTTAATTAAAAAATCTAGGGTTCAATTTTTGGAGACGCTTTTTGTTCCATGTGTTTAGGCAAGCAAACAGGTCAGCAAATTTTCTAATGTACCACTTTGCATAGGCAAAGTTGGTCAGGTGGAATGCTCTGCTGGAAATATAAGTATTTCATTTAGGGACTTATGTGTTCAGCTCTTGATGTTGAATGATTTTAATAATCTAGACCAGTTTAACATAATTAAGTTTTTAAAAAATATCTCTGTAGAATAAAAAACAGCAAACAACAGAAAGTTTCACAGCAGCATACTACAGATCCTTTCATTCTAGACCACTGGTTTAAATCCAATCCCAAATTGTTATAATCGGTGTCTGATAACTGTTTGATAGGCTGCAGATAGAATAAATTTGCAGCCTCAGTTCAGTGCCTGTTGGAAAAATGTCCACGTTATAAAACTTGAATTGCTTGTTGGCACTGATTAGGGACCTCACTGGCTCTCTTTACAGATTCACCAAGGACTGACAAACAGCTGATTTAGAAAATGCTCTCTGGGACTTAAAGAAACTTGAAAAGCACTTCAGTAGCATGGCAATAAGTACACTCAGAATAATATAAATAGGTCAACCTAGAACAGATTTTTTAAAATATTAGAAAAATCTCATGGTGTGGGAGAAAGGATTCTTGAAATTGCATATAACATTTTTACCTCTATTCATGATAACAGATTGCTTTTTAAAATGAGAGGGGAGAGGAAGTACTGCAGTACTCATAAAGCAAACATAATTTGAATTCACACTCAGAGTTTAGTTGCTGAGAATCACCTTCATACAGCAAACTCAAACAACAATTTTTAACCAACCTTCCTGTTTGACTTCAGGAGGGGATACTGCTCAAACATGTATAGCATGACATAGCCCACAGTATTTTTGGCAAATAGAAATTCTTGAACCTAAATTGTAATGCAGTGTAGCACACTGCATTCTAAGCTTTGTTGCTGAATTAAATTAAATTAATTTAAAAAAATAAAGCATAAAGAATGCATAGAACCACAAAATAACCTAGGGTTTTCAGTCTCCTTAGGCTTTGTTCCTTATGATGCTCTTCTTTGAAGATTCACTGAAGCCTGAAGTCTATGGAAGTTCTGATTATTTCAATAATCTTTGGGTTTGGTACTTAATTATAGAGAAATTTACACAATTTGATGTCTCGTACAGTATTCTCTGTAGCTTTCTACTTTGAACATCACTGAAACACATCAGATGGGCTGTGCAAGACCTGCTGTGGGATCTGTTCAATGGTGTAATTTTCATTTTCCTGATGACCCTTGCCTCTCATTTTCTTTCTCCTCAGCAGGGTGGTTTTCAACACTTTCTAGGAAATCAAACATAGAGAAACACCTGGAGGTTTTGATTTCATCTTAGTTATGAAGAGGAGCATACCTTCAAAGAACTATCTAGTTCTGGAAGTCTGCTCCTTCCAAAAACTGTTATCTTCCATTTTGTCTTATGTGAGGCAACAAGTGAAAATGTGGCCCAAAGTAGAGGGTGAATTGCAAAAGCAAGCAACAGCAGTTAATGTCAAGGTACTGAAGAACTATACTGATTGATTGATTTCTTAGAGGGACAGAACAAAGGAAAACGGCAGAGTACATTGTGATGTACTTGTTGTTCAGACTACATTAAGAAGGAATAGATTTTCTGTTTTGTTTTGTTTCCTGAAAGGAAACCTGGACAGTTAAAAGACGTGGGCCTAAACTGAATTTAAATGGCACCATAATTAAAATCTTACACGTTTTGAATTCAGTTGTACTTTAGACCAAATTAGCCATCTCACATGCTGAAAATGTGTAGCACTCACACAGCACCGCAAAAATAAGGAATACTTTCAGATGCAAAAGCACTAAAGGGAGTTATTTATTCTGGAAGAAGTCATAAGTAGCATGATCAATTCTGTTCTTATAGTATTTCTGGCTCACCTGCCAAACCCTTGAATTTGAGCAATCCTTCAAACTTATGGTTTGGCTGCCAGGAATCCTGACTTTCATCCCATTTTCAGCCTGTTTTAAGGGAATAATATACATTTTAGTCTGTGTGGATTGCAGCCAAACATTCTACTGCTGAGTTTTCAATTATAACCTTGAATTTGTAACAGTAAATACAATTTAGCATCAAGCATTAGCTTCCATGTTGTTACATATCTATATAAATATAAGGTATTTGCAGTGATTTTTTCTTTCGTATTTAGTCTGTACAATTAGGGACGGAAACTCACTCAGCATCCAGACATTTGGTATATTCCTTGTACTTAAAAGGAACTTTCAGGACTCTTTAAGTGTCTTAAAAGAAAGCGAAGGACATGTAAATATAGGAAATAAGCTAACTGCATGAAATATACTTGAATGTACTTCACTACAAGTGAATAAAACTTATACAGGTTCTTATTGGACCCTTTAAATAAGGATTGTCCATTTTATGAAGTGCTAATTTTGTCAGACTTTTAAAGTATTTTTCCAATGTTACTAGTTCATTCAGTAAATTAATATTAATTTATATGAGAAAATGGATCAAAATAAACATCATATTCTGGAATGCAAAATGCTGAATAGACCAGATTTTTTTTTTACATTTCTTTGTAGCAAATGACTGAAAATAATGATTTAGAAACACTTGTGTCTTGCTAGTGATGAAAGGTTTTCATTGTCTAGTTTTGACTGGTCAAGAAAAGTATCTCATTAATACTTTTTCTGCAATAGTATATCTTTATAATTAGATTTTTATTGCAAATGTTGTAAGAAAATACGTATAAATTCACTTTTTGTACACATAGGAAAGATTAAAATGTCTGTGTAATCAGATTTCTTTCTAGCGAACACTGATTATAAAAACATTAAATGAATCCAACCATTGAAAGAGCACAAAAAGTATATCCAGAGTAAATTAAAGAAAATCTGAATGTATCTGCATTTCAGTTAACATGAACATGTATCCAAATGCTCTTTACAATGACTCTTTAGTATGTGTTGCCAATAACAGATGAATGAATTACTTTAACACAGAACACCTACAAATCTTGAATACATTTTTCAAAAGAATAAAAAAAAAAAGCCTATTCTATTTTAGTCTCTTTCCAAAATCCACACTGGTTTCTACAACTCTTGTGTCTTGAGAAAACAAAACAGAACAAAATCCCCTACTACTTCTAAATACATCCGGGAACATTTCTAGAAAACGGAGGGAAATATATATATATATATATATATACACTGTTAAATAATCAAAGTTAGAACAGGTGTCTTATTGTTGAGCTTGTCTCTTCCTTATACCTGAAGAACAAAAAGAAAAAAGCATTAAAAGCACAGTACTAAACGGCTTTGAAGAATCACTTGAAATTTTTCTGATAGTTTGTCAATCAATCAACTCCAAACTCTGTTTTAAAGTGTAGAATGATGACTAACAGAATTTTCCTTAAAGTGTTTCAAACTTCAAGGTACTTTAAAAATCCAAGTGAAATTGAAGATGTTTATTATTCAAAAGAACAAAGCTTCTCAAAACAATAAATGCTTGATTTCGCTCTTCCAGGCACCTACCAGTTCAGCTCTCCTGAGTCTGCACCACCTGGGACTTCTCTTGGCAGAATTAAAGCCAATGACCCCGATGTGGGTGAAAATGCAGAGATTGAGTATAACATCTCCAATGGGGATGGATCAGACATGTTTGATATCATCACTGACAAGGACACACAGGAAGGGATTATAACTGTCAAAAAGGTTTATTTTTTCTCCTTTTCTTTTATATGTACTTAGGTCTCCAGGTGTTAAGGTTATTTTTCTTTTTCCAGGGGAAAGGAGGGTAGATCTCACAAGGGGTCAGGCTGCCAAAGATTTGTTGTATTAGTTTTATTCTTCTCTTTCTCCAGCAGATATCTGTTATTTTCAAGTCTTGAGGGAAATTTACTGACATGTCACTTCACATAAAGTAATATTTCAGTGGCTGCTGTCTGTTCAACATATATACTCTCACACACAGTACTTTCCAATTAGGGCTGTGAAAACCTGGAAGGGTTCAGCTCACATGGGGTCTATCAGCTGAATGCTGCAGTAAGGCTCACAAGGGTTGGAAGTTCATCTGAACTTACACCTCCAAGGCTAAACTGTCCCTCTCTAATCTGTCTGACAGTCAGGTATCTCCAGTACATAAAATTTGTATTGGTTTAAGTCCAGCCTTGGTGAAATTTAAGTTGTTACATATTATGCCAATGGAAGTCCAAAGAGCAAAGACATCAGCTGAAATTTAATTCAAAATACCATCTCTGACAGATTTATTGGTTGCTTTTTGGTGTTCAGACTGTTGAACTCTGAATACTATTTCTGGTTCTATTCTTACTGAACACATCAGTAACAATTAATTGATGTCTACATATATGTGTAATATAGTTCTATACACATATATTTGGAAACATAGGTATATTTAATGTATGTGCATGCGTGCTTATGTGTGCACACATGAATGTATATATATATGCATATATGGATATGCATAACATAAGTGTAACACAGATTGGAAATCAGACTTCATAGGTTTTCTTTTCATTCTGGAACGCAGAGGCCATGGACAGGTCTGGGTTGCTCCTGATGCAAAATAGGCAAAGGTAGATGATAATGGGGAAGGAGTAAGGAAAAAGGAAATAAGGTAGAGAACATTTAAGAGCTGGGATAATTGTTCTTGTTCCTACCCATGAGATGAGACAATTAAGACCTTTAGCAACTCTTACTTGTGGATTGAGTCCAACTTCCCTGTTTCTTCTCTCTTTCTATTTTTCATATAGATTGACTTGTTCCAGTTTTCCAGGAATCTGAACAAGTAGTAGGCAGAGAGATCATAATTGCCTTGCTGCCCTATAATACTTCCTATTTTTTCCTGTTCCTAGAGCAAGCCCTAATATACTCCATCTTCTCCAAGATGCATTAAATTTTAGATTTTTTGTTCCTAAAAATGGCTACACTTCTAATTCAGCATTATAAAACTGACTCACATGTCTTGTAAAGTGACACAATTTTCTTTATAATATTATTTGCTCCCCAGCATCTGGATTTTGAAAACAAGATGTTATACACCTTAAGAGTGGAAGCAACCAACACTCATCCTGATCCTCGTTTTCTTCAGCTGGGGCCATTCAAAGACACGGCTTTGGTCAAAATTTCTGTGGAAGACATAGACGAACCTCCAGTGTTCAGCAGACCCTGGTATTTAATAGAGGTAGATGAAGATGTCAAGGAAGGAAGCATTATTGGGCAGGTTGTAGCCCAAGATCCAGATATAACAAAGAATGCAATAAAGTAAGCCATTAGACAATATAAAATGCTTTAGTTGTGGGTCAAGTCTCATGCACAACGAGTGATAAGAGTGCAATGTAATAGGGGGTTATTAGAGTAATTAAGCACATAGGGGCTGCTGAAAAGTAGCAAGTAGAGAAATATCTATGGGAGCTTGTGAAGGCAAACACAGTTTACAGTGCAGGGTATGCTTCTGAAGGACAGCCTACAGGCATACCAGAAAAAGAAAGGAGAGATCAGCATTTAACTGGCATCATGTTCTAGTACTTTCACCAAACTGTTCATAAGATTATGCTTTTATATCAGGTTTCCAGCAGCAAACTTGCGTAAAATACTCAAAATTGTGTATTTCTACACTCCTTGATGGTTGATATCAGTCAGTCTTCTGTACTTTCATAATCTCCTAGACATAACATTGTCTATCATGTTCCATAGCTTAACTATTTAATGATCACATCATACTGAATAGGAAGTGACTGCAAGAAAGTCATAACAATTACAGGTAAGAGTTCAGTGCTGTGAAATTGCTCTAATTGTTAGCCATCTGCTATTATTATCCACAGTGACAAACACAGCACTGAAATTTCTGTATTTACCATGCAACTGATGATGAAACCTGATTTCTGCATTTCTGAACAAGCTTGTTATGTCCTGCAGCAGTACAGTTTGAGGTAGGAGGTGTGAGAGGAGGAAGAAAATAAAATATTTTTAAGTCGTCTATTTATAAAATCTCAATTTAACCTGATAGTGGCTGGTAACTACTAGACTAATTAAAAAACAGCTGCAAAACAAGTTTTTGCTTGCTGGGAATGAACAAAGCAAAATCTAGTGTCATAAAATAAGATTTTAAGAACTTTCATTAATAACAATTAATCCAAAGATTTTTCTGGTGATTTTCATGGTCCTTGTAACATCTTAGAAATATTTTGTTATAAATTGATACTGCCATGTGTGTCCTTCGATGACTGAGTTTTCCAAGAAACAATTAATTTGCAAAAATATTATCTAAGAATGTTCACTTTTAGTTGTTATTCCAGCGTTCACTTTATAAGTTAAAATGTAATTTCAAATATCACTCTAACAAACTGCCTGCATAAATAGTTTGCTCTTCATCCCGCTCACTAGTCTTAAAAAATTGTTTCTCAGTATTCATAACATGTTGAACTCCTCAGACAGCTACATGAAAGTTTAGGTTAATTGTAGAGAAAACATTCTAGATTAACCACAGTTAAAATTAGAAATCTTTTAGAGGTGCCTGTGAGCTAAACTAGAGACTGTAACAGGAGATAGTGATGCTCAGTTGTACTGTATCTTGACAGATACTCTGTGGATCGACACACTGACCTTGACAGAATATTCAACATCTATTCAGGAAATGGATCCTTATTCATCTCAAAGCCCCTTGACCGGGAAGAAACTCCCTGGCACAACATCACTGTCATAGCAACTGAAATCAGTAAGTAGGAGATCATTTATCTCAGAAAAACATTAGAACTAAGAAAAGATTGAAATTCTACAGCATCTATGATTTATCTTGTTTCACTAGTTTTGCCCTTATTGAGACATTATCAATAGACACAGTATCTTTAAATGCACATGTGAAAGTTCAGTTTACTATTTTAGGGTTATCTTTGCCTATTTATGAAAAGATAATTTGGAATTCTCAGGCTCAACAAAACTGTGTACTGTATGTATTGGAGAAGTTAACTTGTTCCCTGAGAATTCCCAGCAAAAAAATTTGGTGCAGGTGTGATACACTGGCTTTATCCTAAGCTAAGTCTTTGGGAAAATCTTTCAAAAAAAAAGTTGTCCATGACAGACAACTAACACATTGTCAGAATGATCACTGTAAACAGGGGAAGAAATTGTGCTTTACCTTGACTGCTTTAACTTATCTCAGGAAATGGCTTCATTTGAAGCCAAGACTAGAGGAAATTCTTTCCCCTCCATGTCTGAAGCAAACCCTGGCCCTAAGTCTTTCACCTGGATTCTGTTGGACCCTTTAGATCTGGATGTCTCTTGCCTGCATTTTCTTTCCAGTCAACTGATAAAAGTCATCAGAAGGGAAACAGAGACACTGACTTTAGGGAACAACTTTTTTCCCTTCATTCTCTCTATAGATTCCCCAGGAGTCTATGTGCTTAACAGTCTGGGAGTAAGCTAATGTGGAGAGATGAATCATATCCCCATTTTCAGAAAGACAGATACCTTTTCCTCCTAAATGCTTTTTCATTATTTGGTCAAATATGGTCTCAATTTTCACTATGTCTACTGCATGATTCATCTGCAGTGATAGCTTGACCTTGGAGGTCAAGTTTGTGAAGACCAATTGATGATAACATCTACATTATCTCCTCTTTTTGTTTTTACATTTTGGGGAGAAAGGACAACTTAGGGTTGGTTTTTCTTTTTCTTGTGGTGGTGTTGTTGACTGACATTGTTTAACTGGTTTACTGATTTGAACAAGTAAATGTTCTTGACAGCTTGACCTCAGGAAAGAGCTTTTGCAATGAATCATTTACTGAACTGACATATGGAATACAAGTCAATAATAAATCAGTGACGTGTTTTTAATGCAAATCAATTTAAGTATACTTTATATTATTTCAAAATATATATACTATAATAGAACAATTTGTTTTGAATATAAATAGGACTTTTATGCATGTCAGTAGAAAATGAAATATAATAGTTTTAGTATAATCAAGAAAAATGAAATTTCTAATGTCTATTGGAAAAGATATATTGGATCATTTCAGGTCTTTTCACAGACATACATTGTAAATCTTTGTATTGTAACATAAATAATCTTCTTGTTTCAGATAATCCTAAACAAAGTAGCCAGATACCTGTCTTCATCCGGATTTTAGACATAAATGATCATGCACCAGAATTTGCCAAATACTATGAAACATTTGTTTGTGAAAATGTAAAAGCAGGACAGGTAAACAAATATTTATGTTATTGAAGAACTTGTAATGAAACTATCCTGGAATACCATCATGAAGATTTCAACATATCTTAATTTGAGTAACTGTAAAATGACCCAGCCTCTTTATTCCCTCCCTTCTACAGAAACTACCAGTTGATTCAAAAAAGGAGCAGATAAAAGATGCAGGATTTTACCCTAGTATAGTAACATAGCATATAATACAAAATCTTAGTTTAAGGTGTTTTTTCATTCCTAAGATCAGAAAATATTTTTCAGAATTAGTCACGCATAATGCTACAAAACCCTTTATACTGTCTGATAATTCCATTTTTTTCTGGCTTTTTTTCAAAGCCTTAGTTAATGTAGCCACACCCTCAGGTACACAAAGCAGGAAAATATTTTATTATGCTTCAGTAAAGGACACATTAAAAAAAAACACATTTACAAAAATAAACGATAATGCAACTGTTTCCATTGTAAGTTAAACTTCAGTTTGGAATTGGGCTGAATCTGGTTAAAGCTTATGTATATCACTTTCAAAACTATCTCAGCAATTCTGTAATAATCGATACAATAACAAGATTTGTAGAGAAAATAAAGTGATAACTGGGAACTGAGAAAAGAAGCAGACCAGAAGAATTGAGAGCCAGGATGTTACAGAAATCTTTTAATGTTACTGCTGCTACAACCAACATCTATGCTAATGCCAGTCAGCCTTTCAGTTTTAAATCCTGTGACGAAAGATGTATGTTTTGCTGATTTTTAATTCTGAAAATATTTACCAAAGAACTGGATTTAATAGCAGATTGGGTACCTCAAGATTGTCTTTCAAGCGCAGGTCTAAATCCATGAATGAGCCTCTTCTCTAGACCGATGCATTTTTGAATGGAAGAAAAAGCTTGAGATCATTATTTTTGCTAGTACAAATCTGAGCGGGTTCCTACTCTAGCAGAGAGAGGCCAGGATGCAGCCCTAAACTCAGCTTAAGTCTGTCCTTGTGTCTCACTAGTTTTATGCTGACATCATCCAACCAAAGCTGGCTGACTTCACAGAAAGTATGAGGAAAGCATCAGAATGTAGGATAATTTGTTTGTCCTTAGAGCACAGTGCCCATACAACACTCAAAGGCTTTACAGGGCTGGGGAATATGGATACACATCAGGAAGGATGTTCATGTTTTACCTTGGTCACTGCCCAGTGTTGTATTTAACACAGTCACGGGGGATGCACTGAAAGTAGCATAGATGGTATGTGAGATGGGTCTAGAATTTCAGGTCCTGCAGAACTCTAAACAGAGCAAGAACATGCAATTTACCAGTTGCAATTCAAAATATGTTTTAGGAATAGTTTAACAGATGGGGGAAAAAAAAAAAAGATATCAAAAAAGGGAGAAAAATAGGATACAGTGGATTGCTGGAGTTTACGTTTAATTCTACTTATTTTTCATTCATTGCACCTAATACTGGAACTTAGGTAAGTGAGTTAGAAAGACAGAGGATACTTTGAGTGAAATCATTCGGCTTTGAAAAGATATTTGACCATTATTTGAATTCTTTTTCAAGAAAGACTCACTATTTTTGATGCAAATGACATAAAAAAAGGAATATGCATATCAAAGGCAGTGATAAATTTAATTTAAACAGTGGAAGGAATTATAATATCAGAAAAACAAACAAGAAGCACCTTTCAAAACAACTGAGGTTTATGATCGAATATTGTGTCTGTTCAATACAGTTCAAGCTGTAGAAAACGAGCAAAAACTCCCTAAACTTTTGGTTATTGTACCCTCATAGTTTTGTTTTATGATTTATAAGCTGGTTTTCCAGGTGGAATATATTCAGATAATTCTAGCCATTAATTTCAAATAGCTGGCATATGACCTAAATTCTATCTGTGCAACAAAATCTCTTTGCACAAGATAAAATTGAGATAAATAAACCTTGAAATCTCAGCATAGTGACTAACAGCAAATTGAGTCATGTATTTTAATTTCATAACACGAAGAAAAATTCCAAAGCTTCCAAATGAAGATTTCATTGAAACTAATCATGTGCAATTTTATCAACCAGCAAACACAGGTTTTGTCATATATTTGAACCAAGTTCAATCTAAGCATATCACTTTTCAGTTTCCTTATCTCATTTTCCATCTAGTCTAGCATACTTGACGAAATATCCATTAACGTATAAAATTTCATTTACCATTCTGGTAAATTCTGTGCTTTTCTAGCAACAGAGATGACAGAGATCCGTTAGACAGGCATATTGTTATTCAGAGCTCCCTTACATCTAGCGTGCCAATGCAGTTCCAGGAATTATTTTCTCTAATTGGAAAAATCCACAAAAACGCTAGAAAGACAGTGTGCATCAAGTGTAGCTGCAGCAGAACAAGAGATCCAGACTGTTCTTCTATTTGTTAACAACTGGGTTCCTCAAGACAAGCATCTGAGTTCATATCTGGACATTTACATATAGCTGACTTAGTACTTCAGAAAATAGATTTTAACTTCAGTACATGAGACTACTTTTATTTTGGTGTCTAAAAATAGCAATAAATATAAGGACGCAAATCAGAATATTTTGGCCAAGGATGCTAATTTCCAGATAGTCTGTACTGCTTATATTTAGCAGTCCTCCTATAATACAATAAAGATATAGAGTCATGTTGTGTTCATTCAGTACTACTCCACCTTATTTTAGAGATCACCTAAAGCAGTTGTCTTATTAGAATCATTACTGCTTCTTGACACATCACATCAGTGCTTCTACATCTGGTGCCCATAGCAGGAGAGCCAGACCGAGACGATAAATATATTTAGTTAATTTTTTTTTTTTTTTTAAATTCAGGCCCAGCTATTAATCACACCACTTTTTAAATCTCAGGTGCATGAGGAAGCAGTCCGAATGATCAAGTATTGCTCTCTGCCACCAGGTGACATTACTCATTCTCAACATCAACAGATATTAGAGGCTACATTCGTTGTGTTTTTCAGATAGCCTTAAGAGAGTCGGAGGAAAGAAAATCCTGCAGTTTCTCCTCCTCTCCTGCCACTCTTTTGTCTCCAAACAACAATGGTATGACTGGGGAGAAACATTATCGCTAGAGATGCACAAACAACTATGATCATTAGGCCGGAACAGATTTGTCATCATGCAAGTCCTGTTCCACTAGCTAATACACAGGCTAAAGAAAAGTATGTCACAGCCTTCCTCTCGCATAATTTAGAAATCCCTAATCCTTCAATGGCATGCTAGAGCCCCAGGGACTGTTGTGGGGAAGGCTCTAGTACAAGTTCTCTCATGTTTTTGTCACAGGAATTAATTGGGTCTGTTTAGATGGATTAGAGGATGAGTTCTCTCCATGGAAACCAGTAAGATTTACTTGAAAAGGAGACTGACTTAACTGAACAATTTGCTCATAACAATTTAGCGAATTTCAACACCCATTAACAATAATATTTAAGAAAATAACATGGGTTGCTTTTTTTTGCACTGATGCTATATTCTTTGCTGCCATTCAGGGACTCCCAGACATCAGAACAGAGAAAAAGGTTGTTGTTTCCTTCAGAAAGCTGTCAGATTTTTCTTTTCATTAGTGTCCATACCCCCCCTCCTTTTTTTCAGATGGAGCACATGGAGATCACATTTTTCATGTGGTCGTTGCGAATTATCAGTCGCAAGTTGTTTATACATTGTAGCTGCCTTTTCTAGGTAGAGACCTATTGGCTTGACATAGTGAGAGACTCATGCTAAATCTCTCTCTCTTTTGAAGTAAGAATTGGAGTTCAAGGGAGAATTTTCCAACTTCTGATAAGCATTCAGTCCTGCTTTAAAATGCCAACACACCTCTGGAACAGAACCAAGACTTAAAAACCAAACTGTTTCGCATTTTCAAACATGAATCTTTGTTAAATGGCAGACATTTTAGAACATTTCTTAAGACATAAATCATCAAGATCAAAGTTCTATTCTAGTTTACACACATGTGATGGAGACTGCTTTCTGCAGCTAGCACCATACAGATGTACAGGCTAGAATTGTGCCTGAACATGTGTGATCACTCAAGCTGCAAAATGTCGAGATGGGCATCCGCTGAGAGCTGGATTGGTTTTGAAACACTTCTGTGTGGGGACACTTGAACTATGTTATTACTTCACTCCTAGAGAAATGTAGACACTTCAAAATCTTCTACAAAATCTTCATCCCACCCACTTACACTGTGCTGTGTTATTAATACATCCCAGATTAGTTAGTGATTGGCCCTACCAGCTCGTACAGGCAGGAAAAGAGGGAAGAGAAAGAAACGACAGGAGAAATGCAAAGTTGCTCTTCCATTATTCCCCCATAGCATTTGCACACTACTACATTCTGGTGATTTTCAAAAGCACATTCTCTCTCACAATATGTTTTATCATATTTCATTCTGTTTATTGCAGACAAAGTGATGACATCTTTCCAGGTTCCTTGAGAAATATTTTCAACACAAAACAAGTTTCATAAATTTCAAGAACGACAAAGCCAGTGCTCCAAGATCCAGGATTTGTTCTATTCTCTCGTATACCACTTCTGAAAAGAGTGCCAGACAAAAACAAACAGCAAAATGTCCCAAACATTCCTTTCTCAAGTGTCTAGTGATATTTTTTAAGTCTTATCTCAGAAGCAGCTGAAATCAGATAAATGACATCTGAGAAATTTCTCAGTTGTACAATATCCATATTTAACTAAGAGCATAATACAACAAGAACGAAAGCCCAAACAATTCAAGTGGATCAAAGGCCTACTCCTCCACATATCTATAATTGCATACAAAACCCAACAACATCCAGCAGCTATTGCTGTATCTCTAGCTTAACAATGTCTGTCTCCAGTGATCTTACTTCTCTGAGACTGGAAGTACAATTTTCATGCTATATGACAATTAGTTCTTTTAAAACTTCAGAAAGGCACTGTCTACAACAGCAGACCATCTTTAAATTCCTGTGAAGGTGACATTATTTTTCAATGTCTTATTTATAGTGAATTTTAAATGAAGGAAGGTTTAAAAATACAATGGCAACCACCAATATGCTGCTGTTTTGAAAAGAAGCAGCAGCAGATTACTTTGCAGACATTCTATTTGTCTCAAATTCTGTTTTATTAGTAGAAATTTTTAACCTGAAAATATATTACACCTGTCCACCTGTAGACCTCATCTTGTTCAACTTTCTTCCATGAACCTTTCAAGAATCTGACTGAAGCATGTTGCTGCATTTTTAAAGTGCGTGCCCTGGAGTCAATGTGCAACTGTGGTTTATTCGCATAACATGCCAAGTCAGCACAGGTTGAAAAGCCCATCTAAAATGTGGCTAGGTAGTGCTGGCCTCTATACTGCTAAAGATGCACTACTAGCTTAATGTTTGCTTTGATGGTTCCTATATTCCTTTTAGAGGCAGTCCCATGGCTGAGCTCACAACTCAAGTCTCCTACTTGTGCAGCTCTCTGTGTCCACAAATGCAGTCTCAGGAACAGTAAGGGCATGCTCTGAAGTGCACAGGGACCCTTCTTATTTCAGAATGCCCCCACCTATCTTTTACTCACTTTTGTCTTTAAAACAGGTTGAAGAAAACCGGAGAACATGTTACATCTAGGGATGTACCAGATATACATAAGGAATCTATTACTAGGCAGTCTATTCATCCCCAAGCACTTTTTCAGAGATGAATATGAATAGCTATAAAATAGCCTGAACGTAAACTAAAATCACAATTTTGACTGTGGTTTAAGTCATGGCCTTAAAAACACAATATCCAGGAGAAAAAAAAAAAAAAAAAAAAAAAGCCACAAAACCATATCATAATTGAAACATTTCCACGTTTGAAAAAATGAATTTAATGAGAAATAGGTCCAAATACTTTAACAGAATTTTTTCCAGTGGGAATTCCTCATTCACTCAATAATTTCCCTATTCATCTTACATTGTCAAGCTGCTACAACCACTCTGTCCTGAGTGTAAAAAAGAAAACTTTATGTCAATGCCTAAGTTTTAATTTTCAGTACCCTCAAAGACAAGTGACCCCTAAAAACTTTAATTTACCCAATAAGATCCACCCAAGAGTATGAGACTGTTTCTTTAAATACAGAGAAGTGAATATGCACATGCACACACAACCCTCAAAATAATGACAATAATGCTGTGTTTTCCAAATTGTGTTAATTTGCACTGGAAACTATGGAAGAAAGAAAAAAAATGGGAATGCTTTTTATCTTCTCTAAGCCTGATATGCTTGAAATATATTTGAGTAAAGTAATTTTCTTGAAATAACTCTTCCCTTATAAATCTTACTGTGTCAGAGATCTTTCTCTGAACTCTTGATGAAGAGTGATCACAACTCAATGTCTGTAACTGTTTTGAAATGGAAAAATACATTTCCAACATGAAATCACAAAATGTACATGAAACAGTACTAAATTTTTTCATATAACTGTGATACTTAAAATACAAATAACCATAGCTCTTTCATTTCTGGAGTGATTATCATTAATATCATTCTCTTTTATTTACAGCCGTGTAACTGGAAAAAAAAGTCCTTAATTAGATAACATTTTTAATTTCCTTTCACCTATTCATCATTTGGAAAAATTTACCTGCAATCATCCTTTCTGATTGTTCTTTTACTCTCCCATCTTTCCTGGTGGAAGAACAGTTGGTTCTCAATTTATGCAGCCAATAGTTAGAGCAAGTAATAAGTTTTTTGGTTTTATTTTCTTCTTCAGCCTGATCTTCAACAATAAGTTTTCAATGTAATTACGTTCCTCTATGCCTGGTAAAATTGTCCTCCTCTTTGTGATTTGCACATGAAGGGAATCAAATCCAGATCCTACAGATACTCAAGATACTCAACTGCAACAGCACCAAGATACTCAACTGCAATTTCTGGTAGCTATTATATCAGGATATTTTCTCCTTGAGTTTTTCAGCAAGTAATTGCACAAATATCACTTATTCTAATTCTCTCTCTTCTCTGTTGTATTTTTACACTTTTTCTGTCTTTTCAAACTTGTAAAACTGTGAGAAGAAAATTTTGTCTTTTCAGTTTGGTATTTACTCCTATCAGAAAGAATTTTTTTATATATATATAGCAATATTACTTTTTTACATCAAGCAAAGCAAAACTAAAATTAAGCTCCATCCTGGTCTTGCTTTCTGTATTGTTACTCTCAGAGGCAGATTACTGCAAAGAGACAAGCAATGGGACATTGGAAAAATGTTGTCATAATCAGAGACTCAGCAACATACTGAACAGGCTAGTTTGCCATAAAAAAGGATTTGGTTAATCTTGGGAAACAGGTAAAAATTAAAAAAAAAAAAATCTAAAGAACAATGATCATCAAATGCTTTAAAAGTGAAGAGATCTTAATATGTAGTTATTATTCTAATCACAGTTAGAAAAACTGCATAATCTTGCCCTCAGCATAGTCACATGCTCTTGTACAAGGCCCATGTTCACAAATCACCTTTCAATTTCCTCAAAATACCTCAAAAATAAAAAGAAAATGAAAAAAAAAAAAGTGTTTTAGAAGGAGCGGCTAGGAAATGCATGAGCCAAACTCAGACCTCTCTATTGTTTTGTTTTGTTTTGTTTTGTTTTTTAATAACAACTTAATATTATTAACTGCAATAAAAATATCCCAAAATTAACTAGAAAAAAATGGGCCAAATACTCATTGCACAGTACAGCAATAGCAGCAGCAGCGTTTTGAATGATAAAGTAAGAAGAAACACTTCAGTAATTTTGGTAGCCCTATAATTATATTTGTCTAACACAGTGTTCCATCCCGAGAGATACTAAGTACCCTCCAAAACGTAACTGTATCCTCAAGTCCCACTCAAGCTGATGTTTAGAGAAAGTACATAACAAAAAGGCATTCCTTAGTTGATTGCTGCAAAGCTTAAAAATAGTATCAGTGTCACTTGTCAATTACTGTATTTCTTGAAGCGGTCAAGCTGTACTTTCCCTGGAAATATCAGAAAAACAAGCCATGAAGTAAGCCTTTGATAACAAGTGGCTTTGATGTCTGTGGGATTTCAAGATACCCTACGCACTGGAAACACTTGAAAACCTCTAGACAGGCGTTGGCTCCCTCATGGCTTTGAAAGAAACAACTCGGACTGCAGAGCTCTTTCTGCCTTTAAGTTTAAGTGCAATATGAACTCACCTGTAGTGAGTGACAGCATCCTCAGTCAAAGCTTACTCCCATTCTCATGCCACCTAGTTTTGTCATCCTGTGATTGGACTCAAACACGTCCTTGCAAGCCAAGGTGGGGTATGGGTGACTCTCCAGTGTGATACCCACTAGGAAGCGCAAAGGAGACAGCAGTTATTCCTACGGCTCAGCTCGCTGGAGTTACTATGAGTCATGCAACCTGGCATGGTGTTAACTGTTGCAAGTTATTTCACAAATCACAGTTATTCCCAGGTGGCTTTCCTTTCTTCAGTTCTGCAGACGTTTTCCTTAGCCTCTATCTACCAGTCTAGCAGCAGATAGATAGAAAAAGAGTTGAATTGCTAGCATCCATGTGTGTCTATATATACAGGAATACACATATTTGCACGTGTTCTGATGCAACAGTAAAGCCTGTGTAATCCAGACGTACTGCTGAAGCCTCTCTTTTTCAGTCCACTCTCCTCTGACCCTGTGCTGGCGCTGTTATCACTCCTTCCCAGCCGGACTTGAGTGTTCTTGTTAGCGCAGCTATGAAGTTCCACAGTCAGAAGTTTCAATTTAGGAGGGAGTAAAGCATCTCTTTTTATTACCTCAGGAGAACTGAGTGCTGTACTCCAATTTATCATCAGAAGCAGATGAGGCAGACTGGGAATTAGACCCACTTAACAACTGGTTTACACTACTCTGTGTCATTGCTACATGAGGCCACAGGAGGTTTATGGCTTACTCAGAAGGGCAATTGTTTCTGTATAACTGCAAGATACTGAGTACAAATCAAAGCACATGGCTGTCTTGCAGTGAGGAGTGGCCCCTTTTTCATCCTCCATTATGTGTTTAAACAATAAAACAACAATTTGCTTTATGTGGGGAACTTTTGGCTTAGGAGTTCAGTTTGTGTCTTCATAGAGAGATTCATTGGATTTTTACTGGACATGAAAAGCAGAGACCTTATTTCAAACACAAGAGTTCTAAAATAGCATGAAACATTGTTTTCTTTATAGCTGATACAGACTGTGAGTGCAGTTGACAAAGATGAGCCTCCTCGAGGACACAAATTTTTCTTTGAGGTGGTACCAGAATTTGCTGTTCATCCAAACTTCTCCATTGTAGACAACAAAGGTAACTGCTGACCAGTACCACTCCTCTCTCCCCTGCCAGCCCCAATACCACATAAAACTTCATTCAGCAACAATTATTTATTCTGCTTTTCCACTCTAGATAACACAGCAGGATTTTTTTTTTATGACTAGAAGAAATGGATACAGCCGTAGTAAGATGAGTACCTATCTCCTGCCAATCATAATATTTGACAACGACTACCCGATCCAGAGCAGCACTGGCACGCTGACCATCCGAGTGTGTGCCTGCGACAGCCAGGGGAACATGCAGTCCTGCAATGCTGAGGCCTTGCTCCTCCCTGCTGGTCTCAGCACAGGGGCACTGGTTGCCATTCTCCTCTGCATCGTTATCCTGCTAGGCAAGTATCTGTTTAACGTGAGATGTTTAACTGACTAGGCAAAGGTCTGGTCACTTCTAGAGCCATGATATTCTTCAACTCCTTATTCACATGACCCTGTAGAACAATATTTCATACCAGATGTGGTCTTTTTTCTTTTTTTTTTCCTACCAACTGTTTTCTAAGATGGAAAAGAAGCTGGGAGAGTGGGAGAGGGAACTACTATAAGCTGTTTGTCATCATTACTATTCAGAAGAATGTGCAAAGAGAATAAGACTATCAATGTTATTTAGATGAAATAATTTTGAAAATCTAGGTCAGTTTTAGCTACCGTGCTCATTTGAGTAATGTTTTATGTTTTACACAAGTCTTCATTTAGATCCAGGACCTTAAAATCATATTCCTGAAGCTGAGTGATAAGTTTCTCAGTGATTAAAAAGTTATCAATTATACTAACTATTTAATCATGAATGATTTGTAATTTTTATACTCAGGAAACATTTAACTCAAAAGCATAGAAGACAAATGTTCAATTGCTTATAAGTGGTAGCGAGAGCAGTTGATTAAACAAAATGTGAGTACAGAAGTTAAATGGGTAGTTGGAAGGCAGAAGCATTAGAAAGATGAAGTGATATATGAAAAAAAACCAGAATAAATGCTAGCTCATAACCTGGGAAGAAAAAAAAAAAAAAACATAAAAATTGCAACTTGCATGTTTTGCTTACCAGAGAAGTGCCTCCCTAAAAA